TACATAATTGTCTTATTTTCAATAAAATTTTAAGTGAGTTAGTAGAGAAATTAGTCTATTTACTAATTGAAATTAGATGAATTAATAAATAAATTACAAAGGTTAGTAACTGAGCTAATTAGTTTAGTAATTCAATTAAATCTCAATAATCACGATGATCTGGCTGTCTTTTTTAATCAACATAAAGTTGCCAACAGTGCAACATGTGCAGCCCAAAGGGTTGCAAAACCATGAAAGGCAAAGCATCATATTTTATTGCACAGCCTTCTTGCTGACAGCGTGCAGGGTTCTTGATTGTGGCACGCTTGGCCAATACAGGCCCATAGTATCATTGCAAGCTAGCAACTTTGCCAATACAGGCCATCTTAAAGCCACAGCCAGCATCCAAACAGTTGCCAATACAGGCCATTTAAATAACATTTCAAGCTTCTGTTATTGCCAATACAGGCTGCTGGTTGCCAACACAGGCCATTTGTCATATGTTTCCACTTGAACAGTATCATTCTTCTTGACTTTTGTCAGCAAAGGTAACACAAGTTTTGATTGAAAGAAAAGATTTTTTAAGAGACAGCCAACACGCTAAGGTACACAAGTGTAAAGCTCAAGTAAATTGGCAGAAAAAGCACACACCAAAAAACTCACACAAAACATATGCAGTACCAAAGGTTCACTTATAGTTGGCCTGGCTACAAAAGTTCACTGATAAGTGCTGGTATCAGCCATGGATGCTGGTGTGGTGAGGGCCTTAGAAGCGTTGAGGGATGACCAGCAAGCTGGCATCCAGAACAAAGCAAGGCGAATGCTGGCCTTGCTCAAGACCCATCAGCTGGTCTATGAGCAGGAGATCCACACCAACATGCTGAGTGTGCATCCAGATAATCGCTCTGGACTGCTGGTCAACTGTGCTGATGTGCACAGTAGGGGGGCCCAAGCTCTGAGAGTGGGCTGGTCCCCAGAAAAGCTGGGTGAGTCCTGGCGCATAGAACTGAGCACTGCCAAGAAGCAAGCACAGCTTAAGGCCATGGAAGTGCTGGTTGGAGCAAGTGATGGAAAACTTGCACCACTGACTGGCAAAGAACGGTGGCTCACACTGAGCTCTAGCCACATGAGCCAGTTTGTGAAAGCAGTGAATGCTGGCTGCAAGTCAGAAGAAGAAGCTTTGGGGGATGTGCTGTCTGCAGAGCACCTGATGCAGCAGTACCAGGACCCAGCATTTGAAAGTGCACTCAACAAAGGCTGGGTGTGGAAATGCTTGGCAGCCACAGTGGAAGAAAGTGTGGCCTGGTTTCCTGCCTTCTTGCAAGCAGCCTTGAACTCTTCCAACCACATTGCTGGGCAAGTGACTGAGTTGGAGCTTGCAATGTCAATGGCCCTTGCCTACTCCCGCACTGGAATGTTGGAGCAAGCAATACAGGATTGCAAATCCTATTCCCCCTTGAGCTACATGGAAACCATAGGCCATTTTGTGGCAAACCATGGGGGTGGGTCAGATTTCCCCATCATCAAAGTGCTGGCAGCCATTGAGAGCACTTTTGGAGGCTCAATGATGCTGGGGGAAGAGCTTTTCACTGCCATTGTGAAGACTGACTTGGGCAACCATGAATCTTCTTGTCCTTTAGTGAGGGCTTGTTTGCTGGCTGCAGCAGTCTCAAGCCCAAAGGTCAAGGATGGCTTCTCCAGACTGCTGGTGAAGTCAGATGTTGACAGGCTGAAGTCTTCCAACAACAAGGAGGATGTGCTGGCCACTGAAAAGCTGTCTGGGATGCTGGTTGAGCAACTCCAGAAGAAAAGTGCTGGCCTTCTCCACCAAGATCATGTGAAGTTGCTGGGTCGATTCCTCATTAGGTGTGCTCTCTGGTTGACCAAGAAGGAAGGAAAGGGAAGAGAGCCCAAGACCTATGGAAGTTTGATGGATATCCAGGAAGCCTTCGACTCTGAGCTAGACATGCTGGAGAAAACTGGCAAAATTGCCAGTGTTGGTGCAGATGAGGATGCTGATGAGGAGGCTCCTGAACAGAAGATTTTGGACTTGAAGGACATGGTTTTTGGGTTGTGTGCTTTTTTTGGCTAGTGCCAATACAGGCTACACTGTCTCTTGCCAATACAGGCCAAAGCTCAAAATAGATAGCATATTACCACATTGACCCCCAGGACAGCAATGATCCCCAGACCTTGGCTGCAGTGCAATTTTTCTGGCTGAAAAAGGGTGCCTTGTACCAGAAGAAGGACTGGTTCTACATCTTTGACAGGTTCACACCAAATGGAAGTATATTCTATGAGTTGGATGTGGCTGGCAATAAGACTGCCATGGAGTTTGAATTCAAAGCTTTGAGGAACTTCAGGGCATCTGACAAAAAGGCCCCTTGTGTGCTGGAGAAGGATGTGGTTGAGAAACTGCAAATGGAAAACTCCACTTATTGGGCCAATGAGCTGGAAAAGGCACAGGTACAGGCTGCAGTGCTGCTCAACTGCAAAGAGATCCTTGTTTGCAAGATAGTTGGCTTTTCTTATAGCTCTTCTTTCCACAGCCTTCACAGGCCAAACATTCAGAGCCATGTCCTGAAAGTATCAAATTTCTGAGGAAAGGCAAATTGGACATCAGCCAGCTGGCCTTCACCAACACCCACAAAGTGCTGGCTGCCAAGCCCATCAAGAAAAGTGCCTTGAAGATTTTTCCTTATGGGGGCATTTCCTTGGTCAAGGCAGACAAAGTAGACAAAATTGATCCAAAATCATTGGTGACCATCCAGGGGTCTGAGAACAAGTACCAGATTGTTGCTCCCAGGGTGGATTTGAAAAAAGAAAGTGGCTCTTTGCCTGTCTTCTTTTGGATTGGCTCCACTGAAGATGAAGAGGAGGCGACCATGGAGCTGCAGGAGTCCAAGATTGATGGCTGGCTGACAATTTCCTATTTCAAGCCCAAGTATGAACTTAAGCCAGGCCAACAGCTGCTGTATTGTAAGCCTTCTCAAACTGAGGAGCCAAAGCGCAAGAAGGCTAAGAAGGGTTGAACCCCTCTTCACAAAACCTGCTGGGTGATGCCCAGAGGATGGCTGGAAAAAATGCAGCATCTGTCCACTGAATGTTTGTGCTAATTGCCATTACAGGCCCATCAAAACATGGTGTTTGTAGAGCATGCACTAGTCTGCTGCCGATACAGGCCTTACTTGCTTTTGAAACTGCAAGTCTGCTTCTGCTCAATTGCAACAGTCAGATTGCCAAGTAGCTGGTTTTTGGAACCTGTTGTGGTAGCTATGTCCATAGAGATTTTTGAGAGGATTGCAATGTCATATGCTGGAGGTCCTGTGGTGCAACTTCCAGACACTTTGATCCAAGAGCATGAGGGCAAGAAGTTTTTGAAATTGCAGTGCAGCCACCCTGCAATCTGCAGGCTTCTGTGTGGGGACAAAACAGAACAATTCACTAGCTGCAAAAATGCTAGTTTTGCTGGCAGCCCTAAATTGCAGCTGCTCAGAGGAGAAGTCCAGAAAGCTCTTCGCAAAGCTGTCACTCCAGCTGAAGTAGCTGGTGTGTTTGATGGTGGTGATGAGCCTGATGCCAAGCCTGTTGCCTCTGCTGAGAAGAAAAAGCAGAAGATGCTGCCATTTCCTGCAACATTGCAGGTAAGGTTTGAAAGCACAGAGCTCTGTGTCCTGACACCAAAGTCTTTCAAGTGCCAGGATGTTTATGTCTTGCTGGAGAAGGACATGCTGGAGTGCATCTTTGGCAGCTTTCATGAAGATATGGATTATTGCTTGGCAGCTACCAAAAGGGGATATTCCAAGAAAAGAAAGCAGGCCTCTGAAGCCTCTGATGGTGAATGAGCCTCTGATAATGGTGAATGAGCTAAAAAGCTTTGGGATATTGTTGCTTTGTATGCTGGCCAATACAGGCCTATAGAAATTTGGTTTGCCAATACAGGCCATTGTTTTGCCAATGCAGGCCATTGTGTTGCCAAAACAGGCCTATACTTATTGTTGGGATGAATGCAATTTCAATGCTGCAGCTTCTGTGGCTCTTGTGCCACTAAAGACATAATCCAGAGAAGCAGCCATGGACAATGGTGGTGTGCCTGGAAGACCTGTTGCTGGTGCTGTGCAACCTGCAGCAGCTTTGGCTAGTGCTGGTGAATGGAGGCCATGGATAGATACAGCTACAGGTGCCAGGTCTTGGTGGCTGGTGAAAGTCTGCCCCAGCAGTGGCTGGGAAACTTGGATCAGTGCTGATGACTACACAAGCGCCATGTGCTTTGGCATAAACGCCAATCTGCCTGGCAGGGTGGAAGCTGCTGCTGAGATGGTGAGGCAATTGCAGACTTTGTGCCATAATGCTGGCACTAGGTGACAATGTTTCACGCAGTTTCACACAGACTTATGTAAAAAGAAAAATCAACCATGCTGGTGCCAATAACAAATTGGACAAGTTTCTTGTTGCCAGTACAGGCCTATTTTTGAATAGCCAATATGATGTCTTGCCATTACAGGCCTCTTTTCTTGCATATACACGTTTTGTTTGCCAATACAGGCCTTGTTTTGAATGCTCAATTCATGTAGCTGTTTAATTCGAGTGTTTTGTGTCATGTCTGGCTCTAGCTCAACAGAAGCTAAGTATCTCCAGCCTCTGCTGCTGGAACCATGCCAATGAGTATGGAAGAGGCAGAGGCCTGGGCCAAGGAGGAAGAGGACACCTCCCTCCTGTTTCACCGATGGGCTGCTGAAGTGTGGCTGGAAGCAAAGGCCATGTTTTAGGATAATTTGCCAATACAGGCCAAGCTGAGTTTTACTATGCTTATTGTTTGTTCCAGTCGCATTGCCACTGCAATTGTTTTGCTGTTGTGCAGGCAACTGCTGGCTCCAGTGCTGGCCCTGCAGCTAATGTTGGTTCTCCAGCTCCAAGCTCTGTTGCTGGCCCTACAAGTGCAGCAGCTGCAGGAGGAGGACCTGCTTCAAGTGCTGGTGAGGCAGGGAAGGGAAATAGTTTTTGATTGCCAATACAGGCCAAGCTGTCTTTCAGGATGTTCACTGCCTGTAGCAATTGCAAACACATTGTTGCTGTTATTGTTGGTCAGGCCACTGCTGGGTCCTGGGCTGGCCCAGCAGCTAAGGCTGGCTCTACAGCTGCAAGCTCTACAAGTGCTGGAGGAGGACCTGCTGGAGGAGAACCTGCTTCAAGTGCAAGACCACCTTCAAGTGCTGGTGAGGCAGGAGATGGAAATAGTCGGTGATTGCCAATACAGGCCATTTGCTGAACTTATGGGTGTGTTTTGTGCCAATAGAGGCCTTTTGGTTGAACTTGATTGTATTTGTAGTATATGGACATAACAATATAGCATCTAAAGTTAAGCCAATACAGGCTTGGAATATAGTGCCAGTACAGGCCTGGAATCAAGAGGACTCACAATGATGCTGAATGATCCTGCAGGAGTTCTCCACTGCAATGGAAGGCACTGGGTTGGTTCCACCAAAGCTCCAACACACCCAGCAGATGTGGCCTGCTGGGGTGGTCCACTGGTGGAGGGACCACTGACAGCACAATGCTGTGGTGGCAGGATGCTGGTGGGCTATGGCACAGATGGCGAGACCTTCCACCTGCTGGAAGGCAAGGCTCTGGTGGCTGGGCATACAAGATGGCCTGCTTGCTCCATATGCGGGACCATGGAGAGACAGAGGCCTTCGACTGGGCGCTGAAGAGGCTGAAAATGCATCCTGGAATGAGAAGGCCCATTGAAGAAATTGATCAAAGATATCATCGCATTGGTGCCCAGGCCTATACATATTACTTTCCTGGACAGTAAATGTTGGTTGGTAGTGCTGGAGAAGGCTAGTAATGCGCTAAGAGGTAACCTGCTGGAGCTCAGTTTCACCAGTTTCACCCAGTTTCACTCCAAATACTTGGCTTTGTACAGATTCCCAAGCCAAAAAATACTTTTATACTAATTCTTGCCAATACAGGCCATTGTATGCATAGTCATTGCCACTACAGGCCATTTGCATAAGTAAATATATATTTTTTGCCAATACAAGCCTTTTGGTTTAAATTGATCATCTATAAAATATTAATGTTTGCATTATATGATAGCCTCGAAGCTTTCCAAGGCACTACATGTCATTTGCTTAAGACTGCCAGGCCTTGGTGCACTGGCCCAGCCCTGACCCAGCAGATGTGAGTTGCTGTGCAATTGACTGAGTAGAAATTTACTATTGACATCTAAAAGCAAATATTTGATTTGTGGAATTTGCTTTGAGCCTCTAAAAGCAAATCCTTGATATTTGGAATTTGCCCTTAGCATCTAAAAGCAAATC